CTTTCACATTATTCTATCCAAGTAATAAAACAATCACACGGATGTAGTAGAATGGATGAGAGGAAGTCTCTCAACCCTGAACCAGAAGTCTCGAGTTTGAACTCTGGTAGCGTGCGTTTCTCCTTTTATGGACCCTAAGTGACACAAATCTGAATTCCTTTCTTTGGCTCTCCAAGGGAAACAAAAAAAATTACTCATTGGACAAGAATCTGGAAAAATCAACATACATATAGTGACTAGTAAAAGTAAAAACTTTCTTCACTAAACTATCTTAGGTTGTCCATTTTCTTGATCATGACTTGCATCAAAATCTCATTCCATGTATCGATAGGCCCTGGCAAACACCAATGAACACAATCATTCTGAACGCGTTCTTGAATCCCATTAGCAAAGGGAAAAGGATGCATATAAGGTCCAGGATGACCATCAGGTCTCAAATATGCCAACTTAGTCACATCCACTGCCTCAAACCTCACCACATTCTTCTCATGACCTTCCTTTTTCGCGATACTCACTTGTTTAATGGATGTTTCCCTCATCTCCGCGTCCATCCATTCAAGTTTCTCCTTCTCCTTAGCATCATAAGGCTTTGTCTTAGAACATGCCCCATACTTATCCCATTCACCTTCAAAATGTGCTGGTGAAAATGTTGTCACAATCACATCAAGTTTGTCTTTGCCACCACCCCTCCTATCAAGAATTGTCTTAAAAGTTGTCTCAAATGCCTTACCATAAACATCATAAAATCCAACCTCAGTGTAATTCAAACCAGGACAAGAATGACAACCTAGTACTTTGTCACCATAAAAATAAACTGCTGAAAGCAAATACCAATGTCCAATTGAAAACACAACCAAATCCATTTGTCCTAAATCTTTAGCCCATTTCTCATCAACAGAGTCCAAATACAAAGTATTATAATATGTCTTATCTGATTTTTCAACCCCTTTAACTAGAAAAGGTGACCAATATATTGATATATTAACATTATGTGAAGGAAAATGCCATTTCCTAAACTTATTTTCCTCACCATGACTAAAAACTAAGTCATGAGGACTAAAAGTTGATAACATACAAAGTAATGATTCCAATTGATTTCTAGCTAGTGAATCACCAACAAATGCTAAATTCTTGTTTTTGAAGAGTTGAAGAAATTTTTTTGGATCAAATCTTGGAAGTTGACAATTATTTGGCTTCCATCTCCAATAAAGATAGTCATTATCAAGTCTACCATGTGTTATACAATTTTGGCCCTCTTTGATAGTGTTACATTTTGTGTATAAAGGGCCTAATTTGTCTTGAATCCAATTGCCATTGCTATAGTCACATGAAATTTCTACACTAGCATTTCCTATTTCTGCACAAAAAGGATAAGGTTTTGATGATTATCAATAAAAGTGCATGCAAATATGGGAAATGATATATATAGTGTCGAAATCAGAAATTCAAACCATAAGAGATTCGAAAAAATAATAGGAGTGTCAAACCTAAGATTTAAACTTATGACCTATAGCAATTTTGAACTCCCTTTATGTCAAGAGGACTAAATATGGTTCTATATAAACAAAAAATATTTTTACCTTATCTACGTAGTATAATTTTCCGATGATAATTGAACCTTTTTGACTCCTTTTAGCTCTACCACAGCATATACAACAATAACTATGCCTCAATCCCTAATAAGTTGAGATCGACTATATGAATCCCCATTGATCATGTTACTCTATATGAACTTATCTCAAATTGATATTATAATATACAAATAAAAGTACTAATAGTTCTCTACATTTTCTATTCTACACGTATAAATCTTTAAAAGTCTAAATGACTCATACAAAGCATATGATCTATAGTAAAAATGCTAACACGATTATTAAAACATATTTTCAACTAATAGATATCTCATGTATAAATCCAAAAAACATATATAAGTAAAAAAATACCCTTACCTTTTGATGGAGTTGAAGATGATGTGGTGATGACTAGTGATTGTTTAGATTGAGAAAGTGAGTGAGGAAACTGAAAGGCAATTAAGTGATAAAAAGTTATTATAGGAAGAAGAGCATACAAAGCCCAAAGCAATAACTTCCTCAAGGGAATTGAATGAGGTTGGTCTTTCAATGGATTTATTGTATCCATTTCTCATTCCAAACCTTTTTTTTCCTTTTCCCTCAAAGAACTTTTACATAATAAAGGATATTTTTTTGGTTTTAGTAGTTTTCTCCATTCTTTTTTGTTAGTGTTTTTTTATTGTTTTTTGTCAAGGTGGTGATGGTGGTAGTAGTTGAAAAATGGAGAATTTTGTGGGAGGATTAAGTCAAAGCAATGCATAGGATCCCATTTTATTTGGTTGGCCAGCCAATCTTTTGTTTCATTACACACTTCATTTTCATTTGTGGTGGGCTAATATTTAATTTTTTAATTTCAATATTAATTTTTTATGTAAAGTTTAGTCAGTATGATTTGTATAATAATCAAACTTTTGTCATTATGTTCTTTTTTTTTTTTTCCTTTTTGAACTGCTTTGATATGCGTAATTTAAGCTAAGAATTGTTTAAAACAGTCTCTCTATCTCTATGAGAGATAGGATAAGATCTACTTATAGTCTACCTTCTTCAAATTCCTACTTTGGAATTACATTGGATATGTTATTGTTGTTGTTATGTATTAGTGAAGACTATAAAGGAATATGGTTTGAACGGTTAGACGGGCGATTTTTTTAGCATGAATAGAAATATTAAGATTGATTTTAAAAAAATAATAATTAAATATTCGAAACTTACTGACCTAATTAATTTCAATTCTCATGACATAAGATTCTTTACTCGCTCTCTTATCACAACTCGAATCCGATTAAAAGATAAAACACTTTAAATCATATCATATTATTACTTTGCACCTTTTTGAAATAATAATGATCACTTTCCTCCAATGTTTTTTTTTTTGTTGGTGTAATTATGAATTATCCAATTTAACGTTGAAATTATTGTCTCCCTTACATTTGTCATACAACAAGAAATTTATTTCATAGCCTCACATAATTGTTAGTAATAATGTAATATCAACAAGAAACATTTTGCTTAAAACTACTCTTAAAACTCAACAAAAGAAAGCTAAAATTAAGCAAAGCCAGTATTCTTCCCACAAATCTTTTTTTAGTTTTGTGAATTTCATAATATTCCAACTAACCTTCTTTTTCCCCCAAAAAGTTTCTACCATATTGGTTAGTATCGATGCGGTGATTTTTTTTTAAAATTGTTCGAGACGTTAAATCTGGAGGAACCAAATAATCTTTTATGAAGGTGACAAATTTAGATGAAGAAACCATTATACACGGATCAAATCATAAACAAGATTTTATTGCATTTACCCGTGAGTTCTCTCGTTCGATTTCGATCCGTTTGTAAATCATGGCGTTCTCTAATCAACGATCCAAGTTTCATCAACACACATTTGAAGAAAATGGAATTTGTTAGCAACCATTTGCGTCTTTTCCAAATCGTGTACCAATTATATCCTAACGAGGGGCTTCGATCGTGGTGTTACGCGGGCGGCCCGTGTGACGAGCTAATTCACCCGGGCTTCCCCGTAACATACACGAAACAATGTACCTATGAATTATTGGGTTCGTGTAACGGATTAATTTGTTATATCACTAAGTTCTTACATGGTAAAGAAGAAATCAATTTATGGAATCCATCAATGAGGAAAAATAGGGTGTTGCCCCATTCTAAATTCTCCCCGGAGCGTCAGAGGCACGCCCCTAATTACGGGTTCGGTTTCGATGGTCTTGGTGATCACAAATTGATAAAAATTACTTATATCGACGATAGATTAAAAAACGAAAAGAAACAATGGTCAGAAGTTGAGGTGTACAGTTTAAAACTCGATTCCTGGAAAAAAATCGGGGATTGTTTTCCTTCACAGTATTATTATGTCCGGGGGGACACGATTTTCTTCAACGGGTGCATCCATTGGCTTACGCAGCGCGAGTACGGAAAAATCAGACCGAGGAGATTGCCGATCGTTTCGTTCAACGTGGCGAACGAGGTGTTTCAGGAATATTGGCTCCCGAACCCTACGGAGCGGGAAGCGAATTGTATAAGCTCGTTGCATGGATCGTTATCGGTTTGTGCAAAATCAACTTCATCGGTTGATAATAGTGTATTGAATATCGAGGTATGGTTAATGAAAGAATATGGAATAGAAGAAACGTGGACGAAGTTATACGTGACAAGGATGGATGAAGAGTTGTCCGGGCCAATAATACCATTGAGAGTGTTGGATTATGATGCTGAGGCAATTGTGTATATAAATAAAAATGTGTTTTTGTATGATCATGAAAATGAAGAATTTGAAGATTTTGGAATTTGGGCCAATGGAATTGGAGTTCCATATGTGACATCTTATATGGAGAGTTTAGTTTGGGTTGAACCAATTATAGTTGAATCAACTACTCCAATTGGACAAAATGTGGCTACAATTGCAAATATTGAAATTGAGTCAAATACAAAGCTAGTGAATACAACTAGCAAAAAGGATACTAAGCAAGATGGTAATTGTATAATCCTATGATACAATTTTCTTATTATGTTTTTTTTTCTAGGATTAATCTTATTGTAATTGTATAGTGGAATTTAATGTTGAAATATAATTGATTTATCTATTTAAGTGGGTTTCGCTTTTCCTTATATGTATTTAGATTTTTCATTTCCTTTATCGTTGAAAAGTTTTTTTCGATAAAAAATTATCTGCATTAGATATTTGCATCACATCAATATACTTTACCATGATTTTAGGTAATAAATGAGGTGAAGATACACATTGTTGATGACTATATTTTGAGGCTTCACCCAATAACAATAATTGACACATATATGAGGAGAAAAATACATATTGTAAGGTATTTAATTGAAATTGAATAATGAAAACTTTGAATAAAGTATGAAGTAATTCCAAAGCTTCATTGTAGGGAAAATATATCATTTAGGAAATGGGTGACCAAAGGATGCATGTTTTTAATGTGGATGTAGCATACAATTAGATAAAAATTTATTTGAATTCAGTATCTTCAGTTAAAATATCGTATGTATACGATTCACTAAGTAAGTTATACATAATAAAGCTTTTAAACACGGTAAATCAAATGGATTATGATAGAACTTGAATTCATATAATTCAAATCTTGAATCTGGATCGCGATAAATTTGCATTATATTATCAAAAACAAGCAATCACCAAGCCCAGAAAGGGCGCCATTTAGGTGGTTGATCATTGACCTTTTGTCCTCCCCATCGCCGTGCCTCTTTAGAACTATGAAAATAACAACAACGTCAACAACAACAAAGTAAGAAAAAGAAAAGGTAATGCATATATATATATATATATATATATATATATATGTGTTAGAGAGA